AAAAAAGACTTTGGGAACCAAAAGGAATTTTAAGAAGATATAAAAAAAATAAAAAAAAGTTACCTTCTTGAGACGACGGTGCTTGGCAAGGGCCCAGTTTGTCATTATGGCAGCAGCAACTAGCATGAATATGTAACCTGCTACAGTCTGTGTAGCAATGTTAAAGCCTAGCCACTGATAGATCTCGGTTGTGTAGTTTGCACATGTAACGATGTTGAACAGAAATCCACGTGGGATTTGGTAGCCACTGCCATCAGATCTTCGTAGACCTCTCAACAATATATGGCAATAAAGGTTCGAGACCTGGCAGAGTAAACCGAACGTGAACCCAACCTTCATCTGGAGATCACTTACAGGCGTGTAAAGTGGATGATTGACGTAATAAGCAATCCAAGCACCAAAAGTCCAGTAATAAGCACAGTTTCGAAAAACATTCGAAAGAGGAGATGTAGCGTGGCTGAACCGATGCACAAAGAAGGTTTCCATAATACGTTTGAAGTAGTGTAGGCACCAGTAGTAAAGGGCATATGTCTGAACTGGTTGAATGACACGTTCACCCTTATAGCCGAAAAGTGAGTACAATGGGAAGAAGTAAAAAAGGGGATAGAGTATGAGAGGACCCAAGTACTCCCAGAAGAAAAGAGTGCTATAATTGACTTGCGGACCAAGGTCCTTGAAAACCACAGTTAACTCCTTGTTGCCATCAGCATACTCTTTCAGGCTCGTTTTAGAGGTAAGGACTATAGGTCTCTCCTTCGACCCATATGGAAGAGGGAGTGTTAACCTCTGTCTAGATGGATAGTATTTTCTGGCTGCAGGCACAGAATATAGAAATTTTTGTTACCAATATCACAGACAAAAGGATTTTTTATAACAAAAGGGAGAAACAAATCAAAAAGAAACTCGTGAACCAAGATTATTAAAGGGGAAATGCAACAACTAATAGATATATCTACAGATTTCACATCAATAACTGCATATTGATACTCCGAGCACAATCACTATTTCTGACATAGGTGCTATACGGCATGGAAAAAGATACATGTTATCATACCCAATGTATAATCAATACAAAGATATCAATAGCTGGTGTTTATTTATGTATTTATTTTGAAAGGAAGTCAATGAATATATTTTGATGAGGGAAATTGTCACACTTATATTACACTGTTATTTGTGGTCCATACCAAGTAGGTAGGCCTGAATTAACAATTTCTACAAGAACTCATATGGATCCATTTTTTAATAGTTATCTATAACTCCCTTACTTTTTAAAAGTATGAGTTGTTTCTTGAAACTTTTGAATTGCCAAGGATATCCTCATAAAAAGATAAGTGTTAAGGTTATTAATGTAATTTTCTTATTCATGTGAGGAAGTTACAACTTTTAATTATTATATTTATTTTGATGCTTAATTATATCTTTAAGTTCTTACACATACAAAACATTACCTACACAAATTAATATATTTTAAATAATAATTTATTCTTAATTATATTATTTTGAATTAATCTACATATGATGTTAGGTTTCGATTTGGTTATTTTAAAGGTAGTTTTAAAATGTAAGAGAAAAAATTATTTTAAGATTTCTTAAATAAAATATATGATATTTCATAAGTGTGAAATATATAATGCATCACTAAAAGTATCATCTTTAATTTCTAAATATTATAGTGTTTACCATACAAATTTTTGGTTATAGTATTAAAACAATTAAACAAGAACAATTTAGTGAACATGCATATGTTTTAAGAATAATTGAATCAAATATAATTATTCAACATACAAAATGTCAACTTTCTATGTAAAAAAGTTATTTGTTAAGTAAAAAAAAATATATAATCTTAACATAAATATTTGTTTAAATTATTCACTAAAATAATATGCATAATATGATTTATGTTTACCTCTTAATAGTATGTATAATATAAATGTTTTTTATAATAATGTGTTACATGAATTAAAATTGCATTTACTGAATTGTAATATAAGCAAAAATAGATTAATTATAGAAATAAAATAAAATAACTAAAATTCTATTTTAAATCTTGAATTTTATAATACGTGTACTTATTAGGAAATAGTTACAATTAAAATTAATTAAATAAAAATAAATAGTGAATTTACTTTAAATATGAATCATTCATTAAAACTAGACTCATTAAATTTTCACATTTAGGATAGTCTTAAAAATCTGGGAATGAAGATAATGCATGTATGACAATTTTAGGAGATGCAACAATAATTTATGTTGGACAAGATATGTAGATAGATGAGTATCTTTAATCAATAAATATGTTATTACTCCTAAGTTTTTTCATGTAATTTTTTTTTAAATAATTATGACTTTAAAAACATTTTCAAATATTTATGTGTCTCTTATGTCATTATGACTAGAGAAAAATTATATATATCTAAGTATTATGAAATGTTATACTTGCAAATATGGCTAATTGCAACCACTGTAATCAAAATAATTGAGAACAAATTATTCAAACATAATGTTTTAGCTTCCAATCTACAATAAAAAAATGATCATTATAAATTATAGTTATAACAAATTCGAATTATTTTTCAAAGAGTATGACGCAAAAGGATGACATTAGAAAACTATATTTGATGACAATATCAATGATAATTATTTTAAGCAAAATAGGGATGAAATGTTGACGAAGATATAAAATAATGTTAAGATAAAAATAAAATATGAAGGAATCATCATTACATAATTCATTTAAACTGGAATTAGTAATTATTCACATTTAGGATAGTCTTGAAAATTCGAGAATGAAGATAATGGATATATGACAATGTTAGGAGATGCAACAATAATTTATGTCGGAAAAGATATATATGTTATTATTCCTATGCTTTTCAAGTAAATTTTCTTTTTGAAATAATTAGTTAATTACGACTTGAATTAAAGACATTTTCAAATATTTATGTATCTCTTATATCATTATGACTAGGGAATACCTGTATATATCTAAGTATTATGAAATTATACTGGCAAATATAATTACACTTGCAACCACAGTAATCAAAATAATTGAGAACGAATTATTTAGACATAGTTTGTTAGCTTCCAATCGACAATAAATAAAAAAATAATCATTATAAATTATAGTTATAGCAAATTTGAGTTATTTTTTCAAAGAGTATGTTGTAAAAGGATGACATTAGAAAGCTATATTATGTAGACAATAATAGTGATCATTATTTTAAGCACAATGAAGATATCATTAAATAACAAAATCAAAGACTATAATTTTTTTTAGCATTTACATTTTCACTAAAAAAATATTAATTTTATTTTTAGTTTTCAACCCAATGTTTTTCTTTTTTAATTTATTCATCATAGAGTTCAGATAATAGTATTAAATACTATATTTCATTATTCAATAAAATACACCATTTTTTGTTAAACTAAATGAAAGAAAATTATATTATACTTTTAAATATAAACCTAATACTAAAAATAATTTGAAAAAAAAAATACCACGTGCGTAGCACGTGCATTTTCCTAGTAGGTTTAAAAGAATAAGACAAACGCTTTAGTGTTGTGTTTTATGACTCCTGATACCCACAGCCAATAAAAGTTCGCCTGGTACATGTGAATGTGAAAACTCAGAAAGTGTTCCACATATTACTCCTGAGATTCATGCTAAATTTCATTCTATCGTACATAGAAGAGTAAGATGCCCAGGCCGAAATTAATTGAGCAACGCTACATGTACATAATATGGTTTAGATAACGATGTGCATACTTTCCACGTCGTGGGATTCATCATTTTCCGTGTTAGACACAATCTAACCCCACCCAAACAAAATAAAGGGAAAATTTCCCATTTATTCGTGCCGGAGCACATCAATCTATTATCTATCTAATAAAGCTTCAGAGACGAAACCATTTAACATTAAATCGAATAAGGAGTTACGTCACATGGTCTGGAATCCCAAAAGTTACTCAAGTCATCAGCAATCACCAATAAAAAAACGAATATAAGAATTTTACTTTGGTGGGGGAGGGTTTCACGCAGTTGAAAATTTTCTAGAAATAATTATCCTGAAAGAAAAGTCAAGTTACCAAGGAAATTCTGGAGGCAAATATCATCTTTATGGGAGGTATTATCATAATGTAGGAACACATTCTCCAAATGATTTCTTGCATTGCTCATCATTAACATAATTCATAGATCAATAATGAACCTTTTCAAATATAAACATATACTTTAAAGATCATTTGTCAAGAGTCACATAGTATACTTTCTAACAACCATTTAGTAAAACCACGTAAAATGAAACCGAGACACAGACCAATATTCGCCATTGGTTTCAAAACCATGTCTCATCGCATATGATCGACCGTGCACATATTTGCTACGCGTGCTCAAATTCAGACCATTTGTTTCGACTGTCACTTACTTAAATGTTCAGGAACCACTAATGGCAGCTACTTTTATACCTTACCAATGTACTTGTCCATCAATATACATTCAAGATCAGAAATACCTATCCATGTGAATCGCAACACGAAGACTCTACGTTTCCACAAACACACAAGGGAAGACCAACAACAGAGACAATGTATAACTTACTCCGTTTGTGAAGGGCCTCCTGCAGATCAGCGACAGTAGCCTGCAAATAGACAACAAAGTACAAAACACAAACAAAATTTACAGGATCGAAGAGTTAATTAAACCAATTAAACGACGAAGAAAACAGACTCTGCAAGCAAATAACCCAATTCGAGTATCTTCAACCCAAATCTGGATATACAAAAGAGAGCCCATTTGAGGAAAACACAAAGAATGTACCGAATCGCTGAGTTCAAGGCCTCCCTTGATGAGTTCTCTGCCGCTACGTGTTGTGACAGTCACCTTCATCTTTCTTGCCTCAGGATTCGACCTTCAAGCTTCAAAGCACAGATGGGTTTTTTCTGAAATGGTTTGTGAGTGACAGAGGCATGTGAAGAGGGAAATGAATATAGGATGGCATTTATTTGCAATTAATATTGGTTAGATAGATTGTCGTTGAGGGGTTGAGCGAACTATTTTGCACCGATTAACTACCTCTGATCTTTTTAAATTTATATATCTGAGCACTTCTCAAACCCTACTATAACTTAAAAATATATTTTACAACAACAACAACAACAACAACAACAAAGTCTTTTAGTCCCAAACAAGTTGGGGTAGGCTAGAGATGAAACCCAATAGAAACAGTAGTAAAAGACAAAGGAGCAAAAGAGAAAGGAGCAAAAGTCACGGTTCTGGCACGTTGATCGCTAGTCTCCAAGCGCTCCTATCCACCGCTAAATCCTTGGAGATATTCCAATCTTTAAGGTCTCTTTGAACCGACTCTTCCCAAGTGAGTTTAGGCCGACCTCTACCTCTCTTAACAACATCGGCCCGCTGTAGAACTCCCCTGCGCACCGGTGCATCAGGAGACCTCCGTTGGACATGTCCGAACCACCTCAGCCGATGTTGTCCTCAACTGGGGCCACCCTGACCCTATCACGAATATCCTCATTTCGGATTCTCTCTCTTCTTGTGTGCCCGCAAAACCAACGCAACATCCGCATCTCTGCTACACTTAGTTGTTGGACATGTTGCCTTTTTGTAGGCCAGCATTCAGCACCGTATAGTATCGCCGAGCGAATCGCCGTCCTATAGAACTTACCTTTTAGCTTCTGTGGCACCCTCTTATCACAGAGAACACCCGAAGTTTGACGCCATTTCAACCAACCGACTGCAATTCTATGCCTAACATCTTCATCAATGCCGCCATCCTTTTGTAGCATCGATCCTAAATACCGGAAAGTCTCCTTCTTGGCCACCACTTGCCCGTCAAGGCTAACATCACCATCATCATGAGTAGCCATGCTCAAAGCGCACGTCATGTACTCGGTCTTCGTCCTACTAAGTCTGAAGCCTTTCGACTCTAACATGTCCTTTCACAGCTCTAACTTCCTATTTACCCCAGCCCTACTCTCGTCAACTAGCACCACATCATCAGCAAAGAGCATACACCAAGGGAGATCACCTTGTATGTCCCTTGTGGCCTCATCCATCACCAAGGCAAATAAATAAGGGCTCAATGCTGACCCCTGTTGTAGTCCTATTTTAATTGGGAAGCCGCTGGTATCGCCCCCGCATGTTCGAACACACGTCATCGCATCCTTGTACATATCCTTGATGAGGGTAATGTACTTAGATGGGACTTTGTTCTTTTCTAAGGCCCACCACATGACATTCCTCGGTACTCTGTCATAAGCCTTCTCAAGGTCGATAAAGACCATGTGCAAGTCCTTCTTTTTGGTCCCTATATCTCTCCATCAACTGTCGTATTAGGAAAATCGCCTCCATGGTCGACCTTCCAGGCATAAACCCAAATTGGTTTTGGGTCACACTCGTCGTAGGCCATGCTCGATAACCCTCTCCCAGAGCTTCATCGTATGACTCATCAACTTAACCCCACGGTAGTTACCACAGCTTTGAACATCACCCTTGTTCTTGAAGATCGGTACTAAAGTACTTCTCCTCCATTCATCAGGCATCTTGTTTGACCAAAAGATGAGGTTAAAAAGCTTAGTTAACCATACTAACGCTCTCGCGCCCAAACATCGCCACACCTCAATAGGAATACCATCAGGGCCCATTGCTTTACCTCCCTTCATCCTCTTCATAGCCTCTCCGATCTCTGCCTCTCGGATTCTCCTCACCAAGCATCTATTGGTATCCTCAAATGAGTCAACCAACTCCAGGGTAGGACCCTCACTCTCCCCATTAAACAATTTGTCGAAGTACTCTCGCCCTCTGTCCTTGATCTCCCCATCCTTCACCAGTGGCCGATCCGACTCATCCTTGATGCATTTGATTTGGTTGATGTCCATTGTCTTCCTCTCCTGAATCCTAGCTATCTTATAAATGTCCTTCTCCCCCTCCTTCGTGCCTAGGCGCTGATAGAGGTCATCGTAGGCCTGACCCTTCGCTACACTCACGGCACGCTTTGCAGCCCCTCTCGTTATTTTATAGCTCTCAATGTTGGTTGCACTCTTGTCGAGGTGGGGACGCTTGAAACAATCTTTCTTCTCTTGAATAGCCCTTTGCACCTCGTCATTCCACCACCAAGTGTCTTTCGCATCCTGCTTGCCTCCCCTACTCATACCAAGTACTTCTGCAGCCACCTTCCGTACACATGTTGCCATCTTTAGCCACATGTCATCTGCATCTTCTCCTTCTTCCCAAGGCCACTCGCCTAGCATCCTATCCCTAAGCGTCTGCGCCACTTACCCTTTAAGCTTCCACCACTCGTTCTCACGGTCTTGGCACATTTGTCCCCGTGGACACGTACTCGGAATCGAAAGTCCGCCACCACCAGCTTATGCTGGGGGACAACACACTCCCCAGGTATCACCTTGCAATCTACGCAAGCGCGTCTATCCTCCCTCCTTGCAAGGATAAAGTCGATCTGACTTGAGTGACGTCCACTATGGAAGGTCACTAGGTGAGATTCCCTCTTCCTAAAGAGGGTGTTCGCTATCAGCAAGTCGTTGGCCATCGCAAAGTCCAACACACCCTCCCCCTCTTCATTCCTATTACCATACCCAAATCCTCCGTGCACTCTCTCGAAACCTATATTAGTCGCGCCCACATGTCCGTTGAGGTCTCCTCCTACGAAGAGCTTCTCGCTGGCAGACACCGTACTGACCAAGGTGTCCAGATCTTCCCAGAATTGCCTCTTGGCGCTCTCACTAAGACCTACCTGAGGGGCATAGGCACTGATCACATTCATGGTCACGTCCCCAACTACCAATCGGACTAGGATAATCCGGTCGCCTTGCCTCCTAACATCTACAACTCCATCCTTAAGGCTCCTATCGATCAGGATGCCTACACCATTTCTACTCGATGAAGCCCCAGTGAACCAAAACTTGAAGCCAGTATCCTCCACTTCCTTCGCCTTCTGCCCCTTCCATTTAGTCTCCTGGACGCATATGATATTAACACGCCTTTTAATAGCTGCATCGACTAGCTCACGTAGCTTACTCGTTAGGGACCCTACGTTCCAACTACCTATCCGGACCCTAGTTGGTTCGACTAGCTTCCTTGCCCTTCGCACCCGTCGAGAGAGATGCGAAGACCCTTGCTCATTTTCCACTACACCGGGCGCCGATGTAGCACGCCAATAAGGAAATGACGACCCGGTCCTTGCTCACTTAACACCATGCCCAAACCACGACATGGCGCGTCCCTGAGGGGGAGACGACCCGGCCCTTGCCCATTTGACACCATACCCGGGTTCCGATATGGCGCGTCGCTAAGAGGGTCACGCCCCAACTTTAAAAATATATTTTAAAGTTCAATAATTTTTTTAGTTTCGATTTTCATAATAATAAATTAATTATCTTTTAATAATCTTTTTATAATTTTTTTAAAAAAAATATATATCAGTCATAATTGAAAATAGTAAAACTATTATTTGTCAATTAAAATAAATTAATCTATTATAGTCTGTTAATTGAAATGAGTTCGAAATATTATTTAGATATATGATATATGATGAGTGAGTCTTATGAGGTGATAAATGCCATTTTAAATCAAAATAATAATGTAATTTTTTAAAGTATAAGAAAACTAATATTCAATTATACATATTTGTTTGTAAATTAAAAATAAATTAATTTATGATAGTCTATCAATTGATATGAATTAGAAATATTATTATAATATAAGACGAGTTTGTTTTATGAGTGACAAATGTCGTTTCATATTAGAATAATAATGTAATTTTCAAACGTGTATGAAAATTTAAAATAAAACTTCTATTTTTTAAAAAGAAAATATAAGTATAATATATTAATTATCACATGTATAGTATATGTGTATTGTACTAGAATAGTTTTTTATAAATTAATTAAATATATTTAAAAAGGTAAGAAAAGAAAGAAAATTGGGTCGATCGGGGCGACTAGCCAGTGCTAACTAGTTCAAGATTACTCGACTAGGTTGGTGTCAGGTTGATAGTTAATTTGTCTTCAATTGCCGAAACGTACTCGAGTTGGTCTCTGGGTCAACTAGGTGATAGATCGACCAGTCAGATCAATCCATATTGAAAAACATTGATATTTGTAAAAGAAAATTACAAGTCTTGCAAATGCTAAAAAACATCCTTTTATTATCATAATCTAAGGGGAAAATGTATGGTCGTATTTTATCACTTTTTGATTTGATTCGTTAAACTATGATGACGGTGTTTTGCCGTTAATTTTTAACAAATAAAATGCTCTTAAAAGCTTTAAAAAATGAAATGGAGACAAAAAATGATGAATATTAGGTGAAACGTGGTCCAGATGGCTCATGTAAGGGTGGAACATTGCTACACAAATCATATGGCGTGAGACAAATATACCATAGTCTTTGTAATTTTTACACAACTCGTGTAGTGTGTGATGTAGATCATGCGAGTTGTATGACGTCTGAAGTCCAAAAATAAATTTGAACTTTTGGAATCACACGAGTCGTGTGGTATGACAAATTTGAGCTTGGTTCGTTGGAATGAACATGTTGCCAACTACAGGCAAAAAACAGGTCAACGATCGGTTGACCGGTTTGAACCGCTTTATTTTTTTAAATACTTTTAATACATTAAAAAATATTTTTTATTATAATTAAAAAATACATATTTAAATATAATGATTACATATAAATTATTATTAATTAGTTTAAGTATTTAAATGTGTTAAAATGACTTAATATTTAATTAACAAAGTTCTATATATACATTTTATTACATAAAATATTATATATGTTGAAAAATATTAATAAATAGAATGCCGGTCCAATTGATTAAAGTCGAACCAATTGCTTGACGGGTTACCCCCTCATATCACACATAAATAGGGGAAAAAAGAAGGGTATAAATACCAATTCTCTTTCATCTCCTCTTCCACCTCCTTACCAGCGGCGCCCTTGAGTCGGCTGCCCGTGGCCACCGCGTCGGATTATCAAATTCCGGCGATATCGAGATCCTGAGCTCGCAACAATCCGTCTAAACCTAGCGAACTTGGCACTCAGCCACTCCTCCGCTTCAGTAATCGTCACTCGTGAGGTTAAGGTATAATTGCTGTGTGGTGGATTAAGTATTGATTATTGAAACTAGAATTGAAATGGCATTTGTGTAGTTGCACTCTGAGTTTGTGACCTTAATTAAATAGTTAATCTGGCTTTTTTTGAATTATTTCTACATTCATTTCCTATTTTTTTCAGACCTGCCTAACCCGCCAAGAACCCCCACTCGGCATGCTTTGATGGCTCTAGATATAATAGTTCATTGGCTCTCAAACTAATTAAACCAGTACTCTTAACAGAGGGCCTTCACATTTGAACTGGCCAATAACTTTTCTCGGCTCCTAAAGGTTGAAGTTTGACTGGTAACAGGTTAACAATGGAAGCTGAGGTGGTGCTTGCCTCATCTCCGACAGACAACGGTGTCAGCTGCTGGGACCTCCACACTGGTGCCGAGATTCTCCGCCACAAGTCGTGCGCCAGCCCTCCTCACGGCCTCATCTCTGTCGCCGGCCATTTCATCGCCTCTTCGCAGCTCCGAGATGGCAAGTCTTCTTCTGGATCAATTTTCTATTGGTCGTGGAACAAGGTAAATATTTATTTGAAATTAAGTTGACCCCACAATAATTAATTTACTGTGTCTAGGTTTTATTTGATTGTGATGTTTATTTTGGTTTTTGGATGATTGATTTTGAACGTGGCCTTTTGTTTTGAAAAAGATAAAGCAACAATCAGTTGAGTTTGTTGTACATTTTGTAGCCTCAGATTGAAGTGAGGAGCTTTCCAGCAGAACCTATAAAGCCTCTTGTTTCCAACTGTCAGGGAACTTATATTGCTGGAGGAGGTGTTTCGGGGGATGTATACTTTTGGGAGGTAGATTATTTAATTTAGATATATATCTCATTTTCTTAGACCTTACATGTTTCTCATGATTGTTGTCATTCCCTTTACTGTGTGATTGCAGGTTGCAACTGGGAAATTGCTAAAGAAGTGGCATGCACATTACAGAGCTGTTAGCTGCTTGGTATTTAATGATGATCAGTCACTTTTGATATCAGGGTCGGAGGATGGATGTGTCCGTGTTTGGTCACTTTTCCTGTATGATTCCTACTGTATTTACTTATGAAGGCGAATGGGAAATGAGTTCTTAATTTAATGATTTTCGATTTTGTAACACTTCAGGATATTTGATGACACGAGGAGGGAGGATGCTAGGCATCTGTTCGAGTACAGTTTCCATGAGCATTCTTTGAGAGTGACTGATGTTAAAACTGGTTATGGCGGTTCTAATGCAATCATTGTGTCTGTTTCTGAGGATCGAACATGCAAGGTTCGTCTTGTAATGGTTATACAATTCGTTAGTGATTATATCATTATTGGTATACATTGATGCTTGGTTAACCGAGAAAGTCATGTTTTGATAAAGACTGACTTTTTGTTTCTGCTTCTAGTCCATTTTGCTTATACTCCAACTATAGTTCACTTTTGGCGAGTCTGTTTGAACAGGCCATCATATTACTTGTCGTATTCCTAAGTCTCTTGATGTTTAATCATCTTTTGGAATAATAAGTTATTATGAATTTTTCATTTTACTTTCATTAACTCCCTCTTATCCAGGTTTGGAGTTTATCTAGGGGGAAACTACTGAGAAATATTGTCTTCCCTTCAATAATAGATTCCATTTCGCTGGACCCTGGAGAGCATGTCTTTTATGCGGGTAGTAGGGATGGTAAGATATACATCGCCGCATTAAATGCTCCAGTGACGTCCAACAGAAACTTTGGATCCCATATAATTGGTTCACTATCTGAACACAGGTTGCCAAATAAATTCAGGATTTTTCCTTTTGAGATTTAAAGATTTCCTGATGATTCTTGGCTTGCTTTACTGAAAGGATTTCCTGTTTACACCTAATGTCATAATTTGCTCTTATCTGATATCGTGTCCAGGCTATTAATTAAATTTCAGGGATGTCTGATATGTTGTTAGTTGTCACGTGGCATTCTTTTTTTCACAATTTCCATTACTGAATCTGAGTGGTACTAAGTTGTTTTAGAAACGTTTATTTGTTTGAATTAATTTTTTCTTGTTAATACATTTGTTGTGCTTCAAGTCGTCCATA